ACACTATCAAAGTAGCTTAAAATCATGTGTTCACCCATGATCTTGATAATGTGTAACCCCCTTAATGAGTCTCATTTGAGATTCGGATTCAAACACTACATTGACCTTTCTCAAGGCTTATCGCGGTGAAAATATCCGAGTGATTGATAATAAATTTCAGCCTCTTATAGGTAAGACTATAGAAATTCTTTATGACCCAAATAATGGAGCAGAAGCTATGCGGAAAGGATTTGAGTCACTTGGGCAAGGTAAACGTGTAGCATTTGTTGTAACAAGTGCTGTAACGGCTCGTGCATTGGTAAAAACTGCTTCTAAATTACGTAGGCCAGATAATTTGCCTATCAAAGCTCGCGCCTATTATGGAGATATGGATGGAAAACAACGAAAAAAGGACTTTTTAGATATTAATACTGCTTGGGGTGAACTCGATTGTGTAGCCTATACAAACACCGTAGAAGCGGGCATTTCTTTCGAAAAAACTAATCACTTTGATATGGTTATAGGCATTACGAATATTGCAACCCCAGTTAATGTTGAGGCATTTATCCAGATGATGTTCCGAATTCGTGATTGTGAAAAGCGTATACTTTCTTTCTTTTATCAGAAAAATTCCAATGAGCTGTTCCGTTCACCAGGCCATGAAAATATTCGTACAGAACTTGTAGTTGCATTTGAGACATCTCGTAAAAGGTTTATAGAACTTCGAAATCAATCTTTATTGCTCTTTGGCTTTAAGTCTCGTGCAAAAGAAACACCAGACCTTAAATCAGCTATAAAAGCAATTAATGCAATTGTTGGTAATTATTGCGGTTATAATATAAAAAGCAAACGAAAAAAAGTAGGACCTAAAGGACAACAAGTTTGGGAATATTCATATCAAATTAATCGCCAACCATATAAGGGTATTGGTTTTGGAGATAAAGGAGCTCTGATTCTTCCGCCATATAAACCAAAATTAGTCAATGAAATTCAAGAGCTCTTTGATTCGATACCTATTACCGATGCTAACTCAAAATGTACCGACTAATTCAATCAATGATCTATTTAAGTAGCGTACCTCCCGCCAGAGGTATATTGTTACATTCAACTAATCATTCATTCCAGGTAAGAGAATTTTTGTTGCCTCTTACAACAAATGCGGAAAAAAAATTCAAATCGAAAATAATACCAAGATAGCTGAACCACGGGGTTTTTGTGACGCATGATTCTGGTCAAAGTAAAAATTCTTTTGATATGGTAATACATAAAAGTAATACGCAAAGGTAAGATCAAAATTTTCGATCCAATTTTTTGATTCGGTAATACGTAAAGGTATGATCCAATTTTTAGATAGTAATATGACAAAGCATAGGACGAATTTTTTGATTTGGTAGTACGCAAAAGTAAACAAATTTTTTGACGAATTTTTTGATTTGGTAGTACGCAAAAGTGCAAACAAATTTTTCAATCCAGTAAAATTTTTCAAATAGGTAGTACGCAAAAGTATGATCCAATTTTTGATAGTAATATGACAAAACATAGGACGAATTTTTACATAAATTGGAAGTACTCAAAAACATCAACTATACGAGAAAGCTTTCTAGGGACCCAAAACATATCGTACTTGCGGTAGTACCCAAAGGTAGAATAATATAAGGAGAGATAAAGAAAAATTGTGCTTTTACGTACTACCAAGTGAGATAACAATTCGGCTACGTGCCAAAATACAGATTGCCAATTCGGCACTTCGTGCCTCATCCTTGCAATCGAAAAAATTGGCAATTCGCCTGGGAAATGTATTGTTTATAGAGATATAAGAAATGTATATTTTATGAATTAGTTTTTTCAGTCCAAAGTAGGGGATAGAGGTTCTATTTATATGTTTTTGTAGTAATTTATTAGACTACTAGTACTTGATTATGAAATAGACTATTTTGTACTCATAAAAATTTTTGATATGGTGATAAAAATGATACGCAAAAGTAAACAAAATTTTTGATCCAGTAATCGATAATCAACCCATCTGGGTGGCCAAAAAATAAAAAATGGCCACACTCGAATGTAGCCGATTTCACGATTCCATCTGGGTGGCCAAAAATTAAAAATTGGCCGCATTTTGGTTAGATTTTTTAGATCGCATAGCCTTTTAAGCTTTGAAGACAATAAAACGGCTAAAAAAGATAGTTAGATAATTAAGCAGTCCATAACGTCTGTAGACGTTATCTGATGTGTAAATAAAAAATCGAACTAAAATAAGACAAAAATGCGGCCTAAAAATGAAAAATGGCCGCTCTCGAAGGTGGCCAAAAAACAAAAATTGGCCACATATTTGGGGAAGTTATAATCTACCTACAATGGTCTATTTAACACTCAAATGCGGCCAGAATCATAAAATCAACCACATAGGGAGGTTATAGTCTAGAATAAGTGGGGTGGTTGTAGTCTGTACAGACTACAACCACCCCACTAAGCCTGGTCTGAGAGGAAGATAAAGGAAAGTTTTGTCCAAAGCCTTCCAACATATTTAAGTCTGTTTCACCTGTGAGAAAAAAATTCCATGGTGCTGAATTGTGCTTAATTGTGCCGTCTTGCA